CCCCCCCCCCCCCCCCCCCCCCCCCCCCCCCCCCCCCCCCCCCCCCCCCCCCCCCCCCCCCCCCCCCCCCCCCCCTTGAAAAAATCCTGCGTACGCCCCTGCGATGTCACTATTAATGTGTTTTTGACGCAACCCAACGTCAGCGAAAAAACAACTCGTGCGCACCGGGCTTTATGCCGGCTGCACAGGAGGCGTTATTTTGCTAATGTTGGACTGTACAGTACTCAAAGTTTATGCAAAATTAAAAGAACTGCACACATCAAGTTAAACTACTGGCGAATACACTAACTGCCTTCAAAAGCTTCATTAGATAGGCAAGAACCCAATCAAAGGGATTTATCATGTGTTATACTGGAACAGCATCCGCCAAGTCAGGACCCAATGCTTTATTATGAAGTAAACAAAACTTTTTATCTTGAATGACTGTTGAAGGAGGGTAATAAGTTTATTGAACAGATACCGCATTGACTTGGATGATAATTCTACCATTTACTTTGTAATTATCTACGATGTCTTTGATGTCGACGTAAGCTGACTGCCAGCGATCTGCCATCTTTGATGTCTGGAAGATAGGCTTTTCTTCATAATGAGGAGCACTCCACAGCACTGTGAGTGAGCCAATATCGTCTCCAGTCATGTAGTAGTAAAACTGCAGGCATATGCGATCACCGGTAGAGGCAAGAGGACGGGATGTAAAGCGTGCTTTGTCACCTGGGCGCTGAGGTTGAGATGCCTCTGCTAACAGGTAATATCCTATACAGAGAGAGAAAGAGAGAGAGAGAGAGAGATACTCTCGTGTATTATTTTGCTGCCATTTTCACCATTCAAATCAATTCAGATCACGCATCAAGTTTGCACTGTTTTAGAGGCACCGGTAAAATTATGGAGTCTCTTCATGACAAACATGCCATAGTGCTATGCCAGTCACCTCAGAGAGTTCATTGTTTTTACCAGAGCCTATATCAGTGCAAGATGTTGCGGATTACCATAATGCATGGATAAAGCCACTTTGCACATTTTGGCAACATTTTGTCGGGTAAGCACAACACAGGCTTCAATGTTGTCTAATAACGGGCCGAAACAAACATTAGCAGACCGCTGCACCCTGACCCTGACGCATGCGACGGCGGAATTTTCCCGACTTTAAAATTCGCCGTGGACCAGTAGATAATAATGGCCAACTTTCAATGTTTTATGATATCTTTTAATATGAGATCGCAGTGGATTTCAGATCACACAATAATATTATTGATGTAATACCTGATGAATTTCTAAAGGTGTGGTCAAAGGGTGGCCCCGTGTTGACGGTTGCTGTGTTGCCCACATTGCGTTGCCAAAGAAACATATCAGAACGCTGCCACCAGCGAAACTTTGCTTCCAGCACCTGAACATAATTGCACATGCCGTCTCCTTGTCCGTCCTCAAAGTTACAGTCCGCGCTGATGGGCGGAGTCGTTGGCACGGCTGTAGGAGAATACCGCCAGGGTGAAAAGAATGATACGATCAGGGCGATTCCGAAAGGTAGCTTGATCTGAATTATATTAAAATTTACGAACTCTTTAGATAGCATTCATTGGTGTAATTTTCCCAATGATTGATAAAATCATTGTGGGGTGCACAACTACCCTTGTGATATCACAGCAATTAAAAAAGTATATACACTGAAGGTTGCCGAATCTAGATGAGGTCAGTACGGAATAGAGAATCTTTATACCTTCAGCTACGGTCACAAAGGTTCGTACGAACGATGCGTTCGTGTTCATATGAATCTCCCTGTTCGTAGATGGGGCATAGTTCCTACGTCCTTCTTACGGTACGAACGCCGTTTAATTTTTTTAATTTTTTTTTTCTTAAGAATGCCTTGAGTTCTTCTTACGTCAGACTTACGGCCATCTAACAAGGTTTGTTCCCAAGTCATTCGTAAGAAGATATTGCGATTTTTTGGACATTTTGTCGGGTTGCAAAAAAGCGCAGCACAAATTGTACGTACACCTTACGAGCACCTTACAAAAGCCTTACGAACGCCAGGGGTCGTTCGTACGAAGGCCATATGAATCTCCGTTCGTAAGGCGTTCTTACGAACGCCATAAGAGCCTTCTATGAGCAACTTAAGGCGTTCTTACGATCATCGTAATAATTTTAAGGCTTCTAGAATTGTCTCTCGACCCTACGAAATGCACGAAGATCTTGCGTGGTTCTTACGATGTTCTTACAACGTTCGTACGGCTGCCTTACGAAGAGAGGGTTTCGTACGAGGTTGAAAAAAAATCTTGGACAAGACCATACATTTACCAATCTTTGTGAACGTAGCTTAAGCCTCGGTCACAAATGCCTTTACGAACTGCTACGAACGCAGTACGAACGATTTTCAGACAATGGAAATTCGGGAACACAATGGAAAAAGAGGGAGATTCGTACAAACGCATCGATCGTACGAACCTTTGTGACCGTAGCTTTATCTGACGGCGTTTTCAAGTCTTTCGTAAGAAGATCTTTTTGTCGGGTTGCAAAAAAAGCGCTGATTTAATGTCATAAATTGTGCACGTACATCTTAAGCTATTGTCACAATGGTTCCATGATAGCAGATAAGTTGTAGTAGGAATAATAATGTCACAAGCGTCACATGTTTTGAGATTGGAGGAAGAGATGAAAAAGGATGAAGAGGGGACAAAGAAAAAGAAAGACAAATAAAACGCTGAGAACACTATCTTACGCCTCATGCACTTCTGGTTGAGTAGCTGAATATCATCAATGGCTGTTTCTGTGGTGGCCCACATAAACCCGATAATTCCTTCAAAGACGACCTAAAAAATAATCATGCAGAAAAAAAATCAAATGAAAATCTTTTCCTCCAGGTAAATTATTATTTAGTTTTCATATTGCAAGAAAATGAAATCGCATGTAAAGTTAGGCTGATACAGCAACAAATTCTTTGCTAGGGAGAGTTACCAGCTTGTTCGAAAAACTGAGAATAGGTATAATAAATAAAAAAAACTACAGCAAATGCAAAATATTTCATATTTAAAGCAATTCAAACAAGATTGATGTATCATGATATTCATCCATCAATCTATACATCTACACTGCTATTGTGAATTCTATATGAAACAACCAACCTCGTAAAATACGCACAGAGCAGAGTTTCACCGGGAATGGAGAGTGACGCCTTCCCCCGATTACTAACTCAAATTTTGCAAAAACAGTGGAAGATATAAAAGCTACACATTCGGACACCTAAATTACATGTTCTAATGAAATGACTATTTCCACATTGTGTTGTTTGAAGAAAGAAATCATGGAGGGTGAGCGCCGCTTCCCTACCATATTCGTCTCGTCGCTTATATGAACTTACATAGAAAGGGTATGTTGAAGGTGGGATGTCAAGGAATGCTTGCGTCCATTTGGGTCCGTGGTCACCATAGAAAACAAGGTCGGGGTCAAAGTTCAATGTTTCACCATGGTTTAAGATGTAAACGTTAAAGAAATCCGCGAATCTCCCATTCAGAATAAACCAGAATGACAGACAGCGTGGGTTGGACGACCCCTGGAGTAGCGGGGTCATTGTTCGAGCATTATCGTTGGTTAAATGATTCCACCATTCCATTACCTGAAGAAGCATAAAGTGACCTGTAAGTTGGATAAAAAGATTAAAAACAAAAATCTTACGCTATATAAGAAAACAGTTTAACTGGGTCGACAGAAACTTCATGTAGTTGGTAAAAGGTTGAACATAAATTGCTCACATAATACGAACACCATGAATATTCGACATTAGGGATAATTATAAAAAATAATTTTAATAACAGTAATAATAATAATTATAATTATAATAATAATGAAAATAATAATAATAATGAATATATCTTCTTTATATACCCATGGTAGCCATATTAGTATCAATACTTCTATTCCTGCGGACCCTGAGATTATAATTATTCAAGGTACCTATTTGAACCCGGCTGAGTGGAGAGTAGTAAATGTGGAAAAGTGTCTTGCCAAATGAGGTTAATTGTGCCGGGCTGGGGTTCCACTACACCACGACACCTCCACTTAAAGCTTATCAACACAAGTGTGGCTAGGAGGGATTAGACCACACAGCGAGGTCACTGACAGGTGGCTATCTCATCAACTCAGCTCTCAAATAACATACGAAATAGAGGATCATGGGGGACCAACAGGCACCGATTGGGGAAGTTTTCTATATAGAGGGAGCAAGTAGCTACAAGTTATGCATGTGAATTTAAAACCAGTGAAAACTTGGACCACAAGCACTAAATTTATACCTTGATTAGTGCCTAGAGTGTGGTCCTTGTGAACAGTTTCGAACCACCATCTCCAGGTGACAGTACCCTTATGGCGAACCCAGTCAAAGATATCATCATAAGCCTGGGTGAAGTTGCAGTAGTCCTGCTCAAAGGTGCACTGAAGGTCATTCCAAGGTCGAGGAGTAGTGGTTGCCGGTGGAAAATCGGTGGTAACTGCACAAAGAACATATTATTTAAGGTCTTTCTAACATCTTTGACACAGAAGGTCCCTGTGGATCCGCAGATGGTGGTATGGTTTTTATTTAGGCTTGTGTCGACTACGCTTGAAAGGCAAATACATTGATCTAGATATTGATATAAGATAGCTTATCAGAAACTTTTTTCTCGCAAAACACTTTATCCGTGTGAGATTTGACAGCATTGATATAAAGTAAATCACCCTCCAGACCAAATAGTTTAAACTCGTGATATATTCAGCACATTCACCTTTGATTGCACGTACTAAAATATCAACAATAGATTATATTCTACGAACGACTCCAAAATACATTAGGGGATTACATGAATGCTTAAAGTGTCAACTATTATATAGAACCAACAGTGACATAAGAAATAAATTGAGGAGTTCATGGTGGTGATATAGTTTTAATGGCAGACAGGCTTTTCCTTATGTTTCATTCAGAAGATGTGTACACCACTCAACAGCAAATTACTTTGATAATATCTACATTATATATATATATATAGTTCATTTCCTCGAATTGCATCGATTTTTTGTTCATGATGTATATGCAGCTACAATCGTTCATAGGCTTTCCTGATGTTTCATTCAGAAGAAGTGTACACAACTTAACAGCAAATTACTTTGATAATATCTACATTATATATATATATAGTTCATTTCCTCGAATTGCATCGATTTTTTGTTCATGATGTATATGCAGCTACATTCGTTCATAATACATTCAGCTCAGTTCTTTTTTTAAAATCTGTTTCCAAACAGTGCACTTACATGGCGGACAACTTCTACTTTGGTAGACTTTGATATCATCTAGAGCTACATCATCTCGTCTGGATACCCCACGTTTTCCCTCGAATACCACCTATATTAACAATAATAATAATAATAATCAGTTTTTATATAAAATTAACGATATGAGTGCATAAGTGATCAACATCGATACCATCCTGGAAAGAACATACCGATGTAGGCCTCATATTAAAGATCAGTCAGAGATATTTTAAAAAACGGGAGATTCCCACTCCAACAAACATTACACCTCTTATTTCATTGGATTATCAAAATCCAGAACTGAATGTTTCAATTACATGTACTTCACGTCCCCCCCCCCCTTTTTTATTTTTTTTTAAAAAAACTTTTCTTTAAAAGAGGTAACGGCTGTTCCAACTCTTAGGATCCATATATGACAAATAAGGTAGCAATCCTAGAAAAACCCGCTTTGAGAACTATCGATCAAGAAATGCAATTTGGAATCTCTAATGGGCATACTGGAGGTAGTCTGGTGGTTGAAACACTTGACTTGAATAGTGAGGGTCGTGTGTTTGAGCCTCCGTGTGGCACTAGTGTCCTTTGGCAAGACATTAATTTTATCTACCACTCCCCACCCAGGTGTTAAAAGGAATTATTTGAATGATGTGAGCAGCAACATTGGTAGCCCATCTAGAAACGGGGTAATATTGGAATGCATTGAGCATCTTGCTTGTTGGGTCGTGTGATATTGAATTATCCAACATTATTATTGTTTTTATTATTATGATTATCATTATCTATCATTATCATCATATTTATTATTATCAACATCGTCATCGTCATCATCATCATCTTCATCATCATCATCATCATTATCATTATTATAGAACCAAAGGTGTCACCTTAAACGGTCGATTGAGCATATTGATGTTAACCGTTGCCCGATGCCAGTAGTCACCATGATCCCCAGTCTGGGTCCAGGTCGGCGTAGAGGGCAGTGGACCGTCCGATGCCATGATGTAAACATTCAGCTCCTCCACGTCTACTCCATACATGTGGTACCAAAACTCGAGACAAGATGGCCGCCTCTGAGCACCAACTTCCGGTGACGTCAGGCGCGCGTACGAGTTACGTGGCGTGGACCAGCTTGCCTCGATGTACATGAAGAATCCTGGTGAAATGAATTTTGAGATTGGAGTGATAAGTTTTGCTAGAAAACCATGGTGACTAAGTTTTCGCATTCCTTCCGAGAATGAAGGGAATATTTTACATTCACATATTTTTACATATCTATGCACAAAAGCAAACTCAAAACACAGACGTAAGTACAAGAAATGCAGGCTGTCTTTATATCTAAAAGAATGAGTATCCGGTACAGAACTTTCTGCACTGTTGACCATATTACTTGGATATTCATGTACTGACGCCCCTCACTGTTGGACGATGACATCGGATCCGTCCAGCAGCCATGCTTTGCGACCCTGCCGCATCCCAACGATTGGACGGAGGATACTGATCCCAACCCTGCGACGACTCTGCATCTGGGGCTACCCTACCACCTCCGCCCCTGCCTGGACAGTCCCAACAACCACTGTCCAGAATGATACATGGTATGTGCTATTCGCGTCTTTGTCGCTCGTCTGTGGATGTTGCCTTACCCTCTACCTTGGACACGCCATAACGGCCACATGTTGATGTAGCCCCCACCCCCTGATGTCGCCTTCCCTGCCCCTTTGACCCAGCAGGTCAGTGCTCCATCCATCGCCCATACCTCCACCCAGATTCTCCAGAGACTCATTGTATTTAAACTTCATTTTAATATTTTCGTTGTTCCAGAAGTTCTTACGATTTAATTTTAATTCTGAAGTCAGTTCCTTTTAAAGGTATTCTTCGATTCAGCTACTACTGTAATGGCTTCATTTCTAGCTCTCTTGAAAAATTCTCTGACATGTTAACTTACGGTGACTTCTGAAAGCGCTTCATTGCTTTATAGAGGTGTCGTGGTCGAGTGGATAAGTCACCGGACTGTGGATCACAAGGTCCGCGGTTCAAGTCCCGCCGCGGCACTAATGTCCTTTGGCAAGACATTGATCTACATTTGCCACTCTCCACCCAGGTGTTAAAATGGGTACCCGGTAGGATGCGAAAGCTAATGTGGTTTGATTAGCAAGTGGCGCTTGTAAAATGGCGACTGGCTGGAATGCTCCCCAGGGAGTGGAGAATGTGCATACCTTGTGTGCGGGTAAGCCTGAATCCGATGACCGGGGTAATAATAATATGTTGTAAAGCGCTGTGATACACATGTATGTCTGTAAGAGCGCTATATAAATGCCAATATTATTATTATAATATTATTATGTTTAGTGTGTATTATGTTCTTGAAAGCGGCATTCATCCACAGGGGTTTTTGGGTGGGATCGAGCTTCGACTTTACGCGAAAGCATCGTGAATACGTAATGAGTCTTAGCGCATTTTCTCACTCCTTAGTCTCTGTTGAAGAAAGCAAAGTATTCAATTTTGTTAAGTTTCCTGTAGACTTTCTGTCAGGACCAAACTAAATTCCAATACTAAGTCATCACTTGTGCCCGATATGTAACATGAGGTTCTACCATGTTTTCTTGATTTGTTATTATAAGGTCCGACACGTTTGACTTCTGAACATCTCTCACTCTAATAGGATGACTTAAGAGTTGTGATAAAAATTGATCCTGTAGAACTTCAGTAAACTCACTAGCAAAACAAGTGTCATGTCCTAGTGCAGAAGGAATCTCCCAATCAATATTTAGTAAGTTTGTGAAGTCTCCGATAGTAAAAAGCGTACTATATTACAGCTTCTCAGTTTTCTCAATGAGGTTCAAAACGTCTTAAATATTTGATCGGCTGCTGTGCGAGCTTCTATAGATACATCCTAAAAACGTCTCTTCCGATCCATTCTGGAATTGTGTACTAAACATTTTCTTCATAGTCATCTCCACTGAAGACAAGTTCTTGCGAATGAAGATTTAGTTTACAATATATTGCTATAAGTACACCCTTCGATTGATTCAATGAATCAGTTGACGCCGTGGTTTAACGACTCTAGTTGTTTCGTCGACACCGATCTTTCGCTAGTTCCTTGCATCTCTGGATACAAAACTCGTTTCTCTCTGATTTGGCAAAGCTGGGGCGCATAGACTGAATGTAATTGATTGGCGCAGTGTCACTGCCTCCCCTGCAGCCAGTTTTCGTTTTATAACTTGCGCCCGTTGTACATCCGTATACTGCTGGCATGATTTTTGACGCACTGTAGGAGTGTGACAACATACGACAAGGTATGCAAAATAAACAGTGTAAACATTCATTAGACTACTGTCACATGCACTAATTAGCTTAACCTTGATATGATTTTTGTCACCGTAGATATATAACGCAATTCAAAATAACTTCTCGTATTCAACAATTACAGTCATCATGACTGATCTGTCTACTGGCGCTTACCTAGCTCATTTCCGAGCGTGTGATCAGCCGAAGGTCCGGTAAACCTCCACCATGTACCGCGGTTAGCCCAGGTCCAATCAAATTGATCGTCCTTGTTCTGCTCGTAGTAACATATTTCGGCTTCCTCAAAGTCACAGTTCACACTGCTAAAATTCTTGATGTGATCTGGAAAAAAGGAAAGTGAACAAAGTTTCAGTAGGTGCACATGGATTTGGATGAATATAGCATTCTTTCGAGAAGTTCCTGAGATCTAACTACTTTGCATGCGATCGAGAAGACATATTTTTTTTCTTCGGGAATTAATCTTTACAAATATGTACGAATGAGACCAATCTAGTTGCAATTACATTAAATGAACAGCTCTGATATCAACACATTGTAAAAACCTTTATTTAAAGTAGCCACACAAAGAATCAAAAGTGTTTTGAATTGATGCAAAACCCATATCATTGCGAAGGGGAAGCCTTGCCGATCAAATACAACAACTCTTCTCTTCAAAATACTTTTGGGGCCCGCAGTATTCAACTCTAGAAAATGTTAGTTTTGAGATCCAGATTTTCTGCCTTCAGCGTCCTTTGTAGAGCGTCAATATTTGTGACGTCACATACGGGACACGGCTGGCTACACGGTACTGAGCTGTTTGTCCAGTGTGTGACGTTACTATTCAGAGCTCGCTACGCTTGTGTGTTTGACTTACGTTCAGGGGCGTTCGGGGGTCTAAGGAGGGTTTTGAACAATTGCATTTTACGCCTTTCTATGATATCTATATGATTTCTCAGCAAATTGTTCGTGTTTTTCAAGAGAAAATCTTTCCATCCATATGTAATTTGTTCTAATTATTAGTTGTTAGTGAATTTTCTTCGTGTAGCTCCTTTAAGGCATCGTAATAAGATAGCAACTTCATCATGTTTAGGAAGAAAAGAAATATAAACATTTCTACAATCATTTAAAAGAAAATACTAGACATTGCTCGAAAATGAAAAATACCAATTTCACTCAAACTAAAATACGTTCAAAAGGTCAAGCAGATCAAACATTATTTAGAAAGGAATGTATACACATAATCTCTAAAGTCTAAACAGATTAATGATACGGGGCAAAATTAATCGCATGTTACACAAAGAAGAGTACCTTCCAAATACTGACTAAAATTATTGTTTTGTATTTCTTTTTACAGGAGCGATTATCTGAATAATGAGAAGAATGAATACTAACGAAATCCTGGGCATTCGGTGAAGGTGATATTGACATCATCAATCGCTATATCTCCTTGATAGCTTTCGCCTCTCTCTGCTTCAAATACAACCTGTACATGAAAGACAAACAAATGGGGTCGCATTGTCAGAACAATGTTGAAATCACAATTCACGCAGCAATGAAGGAAAAAGCAATAATCGTGATTGCGATTCCAGAGTTTTTCACGGGGGGGGGGGGGCACTTGTGTATAAATATTTCAGGATACATGGTGCAATCCTAAAAACTCCATCAAAAGTAACTTTTTGTCGGTAACTCATATTACTGGATGAGCACTGACGCAGAAACAATTTTAAATCCTCAGATAGAGAGTACACAGTATTTAACCCCTATTTGTGGCAATCTTCTCAACATGTAGTATATTTTCTTTTCTTAGTAAATGACGGTGGTCACTCAATTCGTCACACACTTAGTCGTGAAAAACGATGGATACTGTGACGGAGCAGTCCTGTTGTCTTTTCTCTTTCATGTTTTGAAGTTTTGCTTATTTTATATCCCATGGCAGCGAAAGTGACCAAAGGAGCAAAATATAGTGGCTGAAAAAAAGAGGAGTTATTTTTTTGTCCTCATTAGCTAAATATGGATATAAGGGCATCATGAGCCTGCTACCTGATAATCGTAAGGCGTGCTGATCACGACTTCTGCAGCCCGCCATTTATCGCCTCGATTTCCCGACAGACTCCACACGGGATCACCGATGTCGTCCGACGTCGAGTTTTTGATGTGGACGTTGAGGTCGCCCATAATCCTTCCAAACATGTGATAGTAGAAAATCATGCAGGATGGTCGACCACCGTGACCCGCCATCATTGGCGAGATCATACGAGCAACATGGCCTTGTTGACGGTAGGATGTTTCGATAAACATATAATGCCCTATCGAATATATAACAAAATAGGTGAGGGTATATCGAGACATTTAATCTATCCTACATCGATTCTCTACACAGAAGTGTTAAATGAGTAGCCTACTCGGTAAGATGCGTAAGACATTGTGGTATGTTCAGCGTCCCGTGTTTAATAACATCTATAAAATCCATATAATAATAATAATGATAATAATGATAACAATAATAATAATAATAATAACAACAACAATAATATTAATAATAATAACCATAACAATAATAATATACTTGTATAAAGCGCAGACATTGTACAACTATAGTTCACTGAGCTGAAAGAGCTCCTGATATGCTTGAAAAGTTTTGCTTTTAGTTTTTATTGAAAAGTAATTGATGATGGTGATTTCCTTAGCTACAATGGCTAGTCATACCACATGTTGGGGCCTGCGCCTGCAAATGCTCGATCTCCCCATGGACTTAATACGGATGGACATTCAACGTGATTCTTTCTTTGATCCAATCATAGTCGCCGCCTTCTGATTATGTGTATCTTAATGAGAACATTCAGCTGTTTTAACAATAACGACTGCGTAAGCATTTTCGGTCATTGACAAAGGAGCAGTTTCCCTCTCTTGGGTTTTGTTTGGATGGTGTGCTTTGTAAGAGTGTGTCTTAAATAAAAGCATCCTCAAGTGGGAGCAGCAAAGTTGAAAAGCAGACGATTTTAGTGATATGAAATGTATTATTACTGTTACGCAAACTTTCGCACACACCTATGATCTTATAAAAACAATTAGAAGGCCATGATCTGTATCAGCCTTGTGCGTTGTAACTCTGGAATATCATGAGGAAATAGGGGGAAACGGGATTTTAAATCACAACCAAAAAATCCAAAAATAACCTCTATCTGGTAATATCAACATGTTTTTCAAAAAAAGTACATGTACAGTACACGGAACAACAATTTCCGATTATAAGCCAGAACTGCACATCTATTTTCCATGATTTAGGCTAGTAATTATCTTCTGCGCATGTAGATTAACATGTGTAAAATCACTATCTTGATTCTGTCCCGGCTTTTTGCCGGCGACCATGATGAGACCAAAGGGAAGGAACATGTACGGAATGTTATTGAGACGACATTGACGGAGACAATCACAATGAATTCGTTAAGAAAACGATGAATGTCCATCCGTAATAGGTCCATGATCTCCCAAATCGAATATCATTTTTGCTTTATGCCATGGGGTTTGCCGTGGGTACGCTACGGCCATACCCTTTAACCTACCACTTGCGTTCTTGAATGTGTTGTCGGTTCTTGGACCCGTACTAGAAGAAGAGGTAGAGCCAGCATGCCACCAGAAATCGAAATCATCGGTTGTATCCTGAGTAAATCCACATACTTGACTTGTCTCGAAATCACACGTGAGGTTGTCTGTGTAGGTAAGTTGCAGGATTGACATTAACTAGCAGCAGTATTCATCACATGTATATTGACCTCATCAAAAGACCCAGTAGAAGCTTGTAGCAAATTTGATGAAGATCTTTTAAGATTATCATGCTGGTTAAAGTGGCATGTTCCCCGTATTCCAGAGGGCGTTCAAAATACGTACTCGCTGGCGGACGGTGCTAGCTGCCTATTGACACCAACAGAATACGGCTGTTACGCAGATGGCATGTTCCGAATGCCCGCACAATGCCGATTATCGCATACATGTGCCGAAGTAATACCAATCGCAGTTCGGTTTTAAGATTCGGCTGCTGTTTCCGCCCACTTTCGTGACGTCAGGATCGGCAGCGATCAGCTGGCTTGACGAAGGCAGGCCAGGCCGCGCGTACTTTGATTGACAGCTGTATGCAAATTAGAAGTCGATCTTCGGAACCAAGATGGCGATGACTAGAGCAGCGATAACTACAATGGCGGGAACGTGCCCCTTTAATTAAAAGATAATTATATTAACCAATTTCAAGTAATGTTTATAGGCACTCAACAGCATTTGAAATGATTACAAGAAATTATTGATGTTTGATATATGTATATAGATAATAACGAAATAAAAAGGGTCCAGTCATGTAAATATCTAGGTGTTTGACCAAAATTATTATGGAAAAATGAAGTTAAACATGACTTTGTAAAAAAAAACATGTATATATATATATATATATATATATATATATTATATCTTGAAAAGATTGCGTCCATACTTAGACGAATCTTAGACCAAATGAAGCGCGGAACGATTCTCGCCGAGCAAATGTTAGTGCACTTTTGTGATTAAGATACATTTACCGGTGACTATTCCCTTCTGAAAATCGTGAATACACGATTATTATAGTTCACAATATGATTCAATCATAAGGTATACATCCTAAACGATAATGTCGAGTACTGGTCGGGTACATCGGGAAAGAAATTATCTAAAAGTTATTGGGGGATATTGATTATGTGTGTGGTGGTACAAGACAAACAAAAAGTGTACTGTGACACTGTGAACTCATCAAAATGATACTCAATGTGAATCTGAATATTAAAAAAAATCACATACATTTAAAAACATTCCATAGAGAAAAGGTATGTATGTTGATATACGAACAAGGCATACAAATCCGGTCCATAATCAGTTACACTGTACATGTATAATTGAAATTTGAGGGAAATGCTAAAGCAATATATTCCTTATGACGCTGATTCCCCTTTTGATACGAAGTAGCCATCAATGATTAGCTATGTTTTTCAGGTTCCTCATACATGTATTTTACAATTGCCTGTCGTATCTATAATTTCCTCGAAAACTTGTACTTACTTACAGGACATAATACTGCATTTTTTTTATATACCGCACCAGTAATGTTTTTTTCAATAGACTCTTCAACTTGTATGGATATCAATGGCTTTCAATGTAAACATAAAGCAAATAAACTTCAAACTTTAAACAAATGTAGCAAATATAACGATAATGTTGGAGTAACATGAGGAAGCAAAAAAAAAAAAAAAAGGGGGGGGGGGGGGGAGGTTGGAGGAGGGGGGAGTATTTTTTTCATAATGTGAATGACATACTTACCTAAAGGGCAGACTTTATCAAGAATCATTAGATCGTCAATTGCTACATCACCTCTGTAGCTCTCACCAACCTCACTCTCAAGAATGATCTGACAAAAAACAGACAAATTCTTAAATAACCGATTTCATACGATTGTAAACACTACAAGCCTTTAAAGCTTATCTGCACTAGTTTGGCCAGGAGGGATTATACCACACAGCGAGGTCACTGACAGATGGCTATCTCATCAACTAAGTTCTCAATTAACATAAGAAATAGAGGATCATGGGGGACCAACAGGCACCGATTGGGGAAGTTTTCTATATAGAGGGAGCAAGTAGCTACAAGTAGGACAGTGGGGCTTTAATAGTGTAATCCCTAATTTTACCTGATAATCTTCAGTCTGGGGTTGGATGGTGATCCCCGACTTCAACCACTTATCATCTTGATGACCACTCCATTGCTTGAGCAGCGTCGGGTCATCCGTCCCGTTGGCGGTCTGGAGGAGTACCCGGAGTTTACCGATGTCCTCCCCGTTCATCTGGTAGTAAAACGCGAAACAGATGGGCGTGGTCGACGGCTGCATCATGGGAGAGACGAGTCGGGCCACGTGACCATGGGTCTGCGGAAGGGACGATTCGGTGTAAATGTAGTAGCCTGGAAGGAGCAAGAAGTCGTATCAGTGTTTTGTTCATGATGATAGCAGACTGAACTATGTTACCAAGGTAAAAAGTATATTAACTCTAGATCTCCCTCTATCAATAGAGATGGAAACATGTTATAACAAGTTTTTGACATGTTTTGATCATTAACAATCATTTTCTTCATATTTCATGTAAATGAATAACCGTTCTCAAAAGTCGAACCATCGAATTTGAATACGAGTACGATCTTATCTTGACCGAAAGCCTCAGTCTCTGATATCGACGGTTGTTCCGCTGAGACTACGTCTGGCTCTACTGACCACCTCTATTTGTACTGGGAAGGTTGACAAATATCAGTTTTATTAAAGAATTCCCTATATACCAGACGGTTATTTCTGTCTGGAGCTGCATATACCCCATTAGATACTGATGTGTATACGTACCTTCTGTCGAACCATAGGTATGGTCGACACTTGGTCCTGTATTTTCTGTAGACGTGGTACCAGCCTGTCTGGTCCAGTCAAAGTCATCGAGGGTATCTTGCGTGAAGCCACAGAACGGATCCGTTTCATTCTCATAGTTACAAGAGAGGATCACCTGTGGGTCCAAGTCCGCTTGCCCATGACCTATAAATATATCATATAGAAGATCCATTATCAGTGAAAGAGAGTACTACTACTACTAATTCTACTACTACTACTACTACTAATTCTACTACTACTACTATACTACTTCTACTACTACAACAACCACTACTACTGCTTCTACTACTACAACAACCACTACTACTACTACTAATACTACTACTACTACTACTACTACTACTACAACTTCTACTACTACTACTTCTTCTACTTCTACTACTACAACAACCACTACTACTACTACTTCTGCTACTACAACCACTACTACTAATACTACTACTACTGCTACTACTACTACTACTACTACAACTACTAGTACTACTCCCTGGGAGCCCTGCAATTATATTATTACCCCATATGTAGAATTCTTCCTTCACTGTGAATTTATGGTCAATATTTCTAGCGACATGTTTACAAAACTATGTAAGAACTCTTGCGGACTTGATGTTTGGCCTATCCATTATGAAGCATCCCATTTCCTTGTCTCTTCTTCAAATCATCAATTATTTTTTTTGAAATAACGTAAAGTTGGGCTCGTCATAGTAAATCCCTCCTTGAAAAAATACATACATCATAACGAAGATTGGACCCTGTTAATTAAACGTCATGTTAAAAAGTAACCATGTTTGAATCTTCAGCACAGAAAGGGGATAGAATACAGAGTACAGTGATTAATGCAAACAGTGCAAGAAAGGGGGAATTAGTGGGATTGATAGTGGACAGAATAAAGAGAAGGGGGAAGAGAACGCTAATCCAGATACCAGGAAGCATTATCTGGAGAGAATAAGAGGAAATGAAAGAGAGGTGGGGGAAAATATTGTGCGGGAGTGTATATGAACGAAAGAGAGAATGAAAGAGGGAGAAACATGGAGAGAGAGAGAGAGAGAGAGAGAGAGAAAGGGGTATGATTTTTATTCTATTCTATTCTCTTTCTGCATTTTCCCACGTACACTCGTACAATAACTGAATAACAAAGAACACGTAAACGTAAGCTATAATACAATACAAATATGCAAACAATAATATCAAAATGTTAAAATGTGATTTACATATACAAATCATACGAACTTAATATTTCTATAAAATATTATTATAAATTTAAAGTTTTATCTGAACTATCTGTGGAAAAGTGCAAGAGACCGCAATCATAAGCGACACTTGACTAGGATGGCGGCCTCAAAAGAAAAATTGTGAAAAGTGAAATTTAAATGAAAATGTGTTCACGCGATATTTGTGTATGAATTTGTTAGTGTATTGTATGAGTGTATGACGGAGAAGATAAATATAGGTAGGCAAGTTATTAATGCTTATAGTCTTGAATTTTCCGTTATTTCCTATCTAGCTCTAAATAATAGTACACCGACTTGACAAGACAAGCTAGTGATCGAATGCAAATATGTTTTGGCTTTTGGCTTTGTTTTAACCGATGACGACGTGAATATAACAACAAGTAATTTTACTCACTATACATTAAAATTTGGAAATCCACACAAATGACATGAAATAACGAAATAAAATGTGAGATCGAAACTGGCCAAAATTGTTGGTATAAATCACGCATGTGGCAGTATCATGTATCTCGACCCCTGTTTGCACTCAATTTGTGTTTTCACTTTTATTGAATAGAAATGTGAGACTTGTTGAAAGTTTTCACTTATAAATTACAGCGTATCCACTAGACGACGGCACCTCTATACTTCGGTCTACCCCCTTTCCTTCACCTTGCTGTTCTGCATTACTAGTAACACATTATAATGTTTGTATTTAATCTGGCTCAAAGGCATCAAAATGCTGCCTATCGTGGAGTTCCAGTTCTGGCTGAAAGTACTTTCTGCTTTTTATTTTTATGTAAGTTGATTTACCATGAGGATATTCCGAGCAAAATAAAATGAAATGACATACTTCCCCATTGCCTGAATGGGCAGAAGAATGGGCGATTGATTGGATGAACAAACGCTTGAAAAGAAATCCCAAATAATTCCAGAATATAATGAATAACTAGACGAATGAATGCAATAATGAAAGCGTGATAAAAAACACATGCTTTAACCTCAGGCAATACGAGTTGAACGACGTTTTTTAATAGGGTCAGGACGTCAGGTAATTGTGTTTTCAAACTTGCTCTTAGCCGTTTACTTAATTTCTGATTGACATTTTCACATTTTAATAAACACCAGGGGCCCGTTTCACAAAACTTATTATCTATAACAAATGCTAGATTTCTATGACAAATTTGCTCTTAGCCAATCAGATGCCATGATTTCAGTAGCTTGTAACAGTAGCTTGCAACTTGTTATTGATATCAAGTTTTGTGAAACACCCCCCTGTAATAGCACTGCCTTTTTGCATGGTTTAGCCCGACATTCCAACATCAATCTTTGTGGAAGAGCAGAAGATAGAGCTGAAATGTCGTATCACGACAATCACCCCCCGGAACAATCACCGCCCGGAAGTTACCCCCCCCCCCAAAACAAAAAAAACAAAAAAACAAAAACAAAAAAAATCACCCCCTTGTTCGTTATAAGGGAAGTCCAGCCTGATAATCAGTTGATTTTAATAAAAGCAGATTTTTTTCTTCAAGGGGTTATTATCCTCGGAGGGTAATTGTCCACTGGGGATAATTGTCCTAGGGGGTAAATTTCCAGGGGGGGGGGTGATTTTCCTCGAGGGGTGATTGTCCCCGGGGGAATAATTTTCCGGGGGTGATTGCCCAGGGGTTTATTGTCCTAGAACCTTTAAATGCAGGCGCGGATCCAGGGGGGGGGGCCGAGCGGGCCTTGGCCCCCCCCCGCAAAAAAAAAAAAAAAAAAAAAAAAAGAGAGAAGAAAGGAAAAGAAGGGAAAGGGAAAGAGGAGAGAAAGGGAAAGAAAGAAAGAGAAGAAGAAGAAGAAGAAGAAGAAGAAGAAAAGAAAAGGGGGAAGAAGGAAATCGGGGGGGGGGCCGAAAGGGCCCTGCCTCCCAGGCTGTTAACCCCCCCCCAATCAAAAAAATAAGAGAGAAGGAAGGAAAGGGAAAGAAAAAAGGAAAAGAGGAGATACTGGCGTACTAATGGGGGGGGGGGGGGGGGCTTTGGGGGAATCAAATTCAAACGTGGTTTATTTCTAATTCCACAACGGTGGATTACAATTAATGCTGAAATGACATAATTTCCGAGATTTGTCCTCATTTTTTAGTAAATTATACGTTTGTATATGTGTTTGTTGGAAAATGACAAATTCCTAAATTTACAGCCAGGCACGAAATATGATTCTTGAGATTCCTACATATCAGGGCCCGAGGTACGGCAGGGATCGGGAGCCTCGAGCTCCCTCCCCCCCCCCACTTTATTTGAAAAAGTATATTAAAGAGAAAAAAAAAATAGAATGAGAGCAAGAAAGAAAGAATAGTTAAATGCCAGTGCAGTGTTAAAAAATGAGGCATCAAAATATGCTCATCTGACCGTGATTAAATGCCTAAAACCCCTAAGCTTCCGGGGGCTCTGCCCCCTGGATTCCACCTAGGGCGCTACGGCTGGCCCTTAGATGCTCATCTGACGGTAATTTATTGCCTAAAACCCCTCTTTTTTTGGGGGGGGGGGGGATCCGCCCCCTGGACCCCACGCCAAATAGTGAACTACCAGTGTCACAAAATAATAGGTATTAAAAAAAAATGATCATCTGACCTTAATTAAACGCCTGAAACCCTGAGCTTCCGGGGCCGGACAAGTTATCAAAATGTGTTTATCTAACCGCAGGCGCGTAGCCAGGGGGGGGGGGGGGCGGTCCCCCAAAAACGGAAGAGGACGTAGGAAGTAAAAGGAGCAGACAAAGAACATCTTTGAAATTCAGACAAGGATTAAGAGTATAGAGAACGGTACAACGCATCGTCTTCTTTCTCTAATAATTTAATGAAACGTCAAAGCTTCGCGCGGGAGGGGAGGGGGGGGGGACTGAATTCAGACAAGGGTTAAGAATCGAGGACGGTACAGTGAATCGTCTTCTTTCTCTCATAATCTTATGATACGTCAAAGCTTCCGCGCAGGGGGGGGGGGGGCACCTGAATTCAGACGAGGATTAAGAGTCGAGAACTGTAAAGCCAATCGTCTTCTTTCTCTCATTATCTTATGAAACTTAAAAGCTTCCGCGCTTCGCGCAGGAGGGGGGGGGGGAACTGAATTAAGACGAGGATTAAGAGTCGAGAACGGTACAACGAGTCGTCTTCTTTCTCTAATGATTTAATGAAACGTAAAAGCTTCCGCGCTTCGCTCGGGATGGGGGAACCTGAATTCAGACGAGGTTTAAGAGTCGAGAACTCTCCAACGAATCGTCTTCTTGCTCTAACAATTTAATAAAACGTAAAATTTTCCGCGCTTCGCGCGGGAGGGGCAAAACTAAATTCAGACGAAGATTTTGAGTCGAGAACGGTACAACGAATCGTCTTCTTTCTTTAATAATTTAACGAAACGTCAAAGCTTCCGCGTTTCGTGGAGGGGGGGGGGGGGGGGGGGACTCGCCCCTCCCTGCACCGACCCCCCCCCCCGCCGCATTACATCACCGTTGGTCACCATTACGTACCAATATTTGGCTAGCATAATTTCAAATTTGGGCCCCCCCCCTAAGAAATCCTGGATCCGCGCCTGCTTAAATGTATGTAACATAGCCTTACATAGGACACATAAATGCAACAGGAATACAACATGCCCCTTTTCCTCGTATTCATTATGGAGGCCTACTCGGAACTTACCCGATTCAGAGATTGTAAAAGCTAAGCAAATCAAGAACTCGCTTATTTCGGAATTTGCTTTTTATAGTCAATGCCAACCAGTAAGAATACAAGATTATTGTTCATAAGCGTGTACTCCATAGGGTGGAGCCGAGGAGCATGGTTCTGCCCATCGATATGCCTTCAATACGTGCATTGATTGGTTCACAAACACACACGCGCCCGCACACACACGCACACACGCGCACAAACCAACACACACACGCGCGCGCACACTCATACTAAAACTTAATATATTCGTCGGTGGGGTGACAAAACCTCGTATCTCAATTTTTGAGATTTTGATTTTTTGGCATAATTGTGTACCTAATGGCCTACGACACCATCTGATAAATCCATGGAACGCCTCTTGTCTCGGTTTTTTTCACAAATTCCACACAAAGGACGGTGTCACAGCACTAAGTCTGTTGAGACAGGAAATTTTTTTACGCTCTCCTGAAAATTCATGATTTTTGAGATACGAGGTTTTGTCACCCCACTATATTATATTATAGATAAATAAATAAATACAATGAATACATAAGTGAGTCAAAAAAAAATATACTAAATAAAAAAATTGAATACATAAACAAGTTAAGATAGACCCATCGAAATATTAAAAAAAAAAATAAGTCGGCCTGTACGGACAACCGTGTCGATTAAGTTTCACTGTCGTATTTCGAAATTGATCGTACTATATAAGGTCATTAAAAAAATTGCATGTTTATCATCCCCGCCCGCTTCTTTTTTGAGGCCGCCTCCTATTTTTTTATTTATTTTTTTTATTTCAATATTTTTCAATGAATACAAATATGAAAAACATACTTCTAAAATGATCAATTTCTGATTTAAAAAAAAAAACGAACACAATGCTAGCGGCCATCTTGAAATGTACCGAGAACGGACATTTTGGCAAAAAAAGGGCCTCCTCCTTCCTACTTTTCAAAAAGGCAGGACGCTAAACATGTTTTTTTTTAATGGCTTAACGAGATGGCCAACGATGTCCTCAATAAATCAAAATAAGGAACTTTGTCAAAGCTGTGTGCCTATTTTAATGGATGATTGATTGTGAAGTAAATTTACCCCTATTTCTTTTTTATGATTTCGAAACACGTCAGAAAAGTAAACGTGTGAGCTGGCGCTAGTAATGGTATTCATCTTTAAACAAATTTGTCGACTATAAAAAGGCCCACATCACCATGACCGTAAAGAGACATCAGCGTGTACCAATGTGTTTCCAATCGAAACGTGATAGAGATGAACTGCTATTTTTAATCAGCCTCATTACAATCAATCAATTAATAAATATAATATGTTTCACTAAATCACACTGAATTATCTATGAATAGTGACAAAGTTCTAACAAAACGATCAAACAAACGGATGAACAATCACTGAAACAAAAACCAAAATAAACAACAGAGCAGAAAGTGAAAAGTCATTTTGTAGCCTTTAATACTACTCCGCGTTGTCCGATATCTGGTAATTTCCCGTATCCATTGCCTTTCTCCTCTCCGCCCCCTCGCTCTCTCTCTCTCTCTCTTCATATAAGTATATAATATATATATGCCTGTATACCGTATATATATTATCCCCTCTCTTTTCCCTCCTCTCTTCCATCGGCGAACTCCCGAGGGTAGCATAGATGACCTGAACCCAACAAATTTAGTTTTATTTCCTCCTCCAAGCGGGTCATGAAGAGAGCCCGCGTGCCACTCGGTGCCAATTCATTTTTTTTCCTGGGATGGAAATAAATGTACATGTAAAAACTCCACTGAACTTGCATCAACTCTTCCACATCAACAGTAAATTGCATACATGCCATTGCTGTCGTTTCGTTCTCACTGCCAATCGATGCATGCTGGATTTACACATCGTGGATAATGTTTGTGCATCTGAACTAATTGACTCATTGAAACAGTGTGTGATTGGAATAATATAAAAGTGTTAATGGTACTACTGCTACTACTACTACTACTACTACTACTACTACTACTACTACTACTGCTACTACTTTTACTTAGACAACTGATATCACCCCAAACAACAACAACAATAAAAAAAATAAAAAAATACATAAGAAACATCAGTATAGCTCTTCTTACGGTCAATGCCAGTATTACATTATTACCCCAGTATTGACAGGTACATGGGTCAAGAGTAACGGAGCGGGTATCGGACCTATGCCCATGACCTTTCAGATGAGAGTATAGAGCCTTCTATTCACCAATATAAAACATTGCTCCCAGGATTGACAAGATACGAGAGACGAAGAGAGCGATGTTTATACAAAATCCAAAAAAAAAAATGACAACTTCATTTCGGGTGCAACCACATAGAGTCCGATGATATTCTTTAATCTACTTTTTAGAGCTCCATATAAAAGAATTTGAGAATTCTGATTCAGGTATTCGGCTCTCGTATTTTTTTTCAAGCGTAACGACTGGCAAACTTTCGCAAACTAGGAACTTGGAAAGCCGCCAGAGTTCAGTTAATGTGAACACATTGTGGCAATCCTCACAGGCTCACAGCAGGATCATGTTTAAGTGCTATTGTGCTCATAGAGTTCCAACCCTTTCAAGCTGGGAGAAGAGAAACATTTTGTTTGTAGTGAAACAAATGAGTGAGTTGATCGACAACACAACTGACGTCACGAATGACGTCAAATGATTACAAAAACAAAATCGTCACTTTCTATGGTTTCATCGACTTTCTTCAATTTGTAACTCCCCGTTTTCTGCTTCCTTTCGATAATGCGATTATAATATTTACTCCGACTTTGTGAAACAACGCAGAAAGACATCATGGAATATAAAGGGGCGGTGTCCTAGTAATATCAATCTAAAAGTCATTTCGTTTCAAATCAATCCGGTTGCCTGGTAGTAAAGTGATAACCCCCCTATGGCCATTGCAAGGGCGTCGCTGGGACATTTGAAAGAGGAGGGGGGGGGGGGGGAGTGTTCGTTACCTTCCAACTATATTCTGCTGATGGACAAGAAGAAGAAAAAGAGGAATGAAGGAGAAGAAGAAGGGGGAAGATAAAGAAGGCGGAAGGCGCAGGGGAGGAGAAGAAGAAACAGAAGAATGAGGTAATAACTAATAAGGGAGAAGGAGGAGAAAGAAAAAGAAGAAGAAGTAAAAAAAAAGAAGTAAATTGTTGACAAGATACGGGGGAGGGGGGTAGAGCCATACCATACCCTTTTTGACATCCGCTATTAATTCTAAACTTACGGCTTGAACAAGTTTTCTGTAATCATATCATATCGTGGTAATACGAGAGTTAATAACACTTGGAGCAAAAATAATTCTAGCCCTTGCTTATTCGTTACTATATTTGCTCTAATTAGTCGACAAATTTTGTTTCAAGATGAATACCATTACCAGTGCCAGCTCACACGCTTACTTTTCGGACTTGTTTCGAAATCATCTTTTTCGCATAAAAAAGAAATGGGAGTATTACATCACAATCAATCATCCACACAAGTACTAAGCACACAGCTTACAAAGTTCCTCATTTTGATTTATTGAGGGAATCGTTATGCCATCTCGTTATCAAGCACTACGATCATTCACGTTTAATTCACACGATACATCAAAATATTTGAACATGATGGAGAATAGTCGACAAGTCAGGGCGGGTGCTCAGGGTTTCTACTAAATAATGTAAAAAAAGAAACATGCTCAGATAACGAGGATTATCATTATTTCTGACGCTCTATATCTCGTTTTTGTATCATTTTTACTTCCGAAACATCTGAAGTTTTATGAGAGCAGAAGATGTCTCTGGAGAGAGCTTAGACGCCCTGTTGTAGACTTTTACTTTAAAACCCCACTGTACTACGTGTAGCTACGTGCGCCCGCTATATAGCAAACAAAGCCTAATCGGTGACCGTTTGTCCCCATTTTCTCATGTAAATTGAGAGCTGATTTGATGAGATTACCACCTGTCAGTGACCATGCAGGGAGGTCTAATCCCTCCTGGCCAAACTAGTGCAGAGAGGCTTTAAACATGTCGGATTTTTTTTGGGGGTGGTTTTTATTTGGGGGGGGGGGGGCAAGAAAAACATCAAAGATAAATCACGGCTTTTGAGGCTGAACTCACACTTTCACGTCATTTATAAAAATTTCGTTCATCTCCAACAACCGACTTGTCCGACCTTGTTTCTTGATGAGTGAAGCCAACCGAAGATCGGTCAGATAGGTCAGGGTCTTGACTCTAGGGAGCTAGTCTAGGGTCCATAGAAACGTGTGCAACGTCTCTCTCAGCTTAGAAGTGGGGATCACATATAACCCAAATATCGACCGTGCGGTCCTGGATATAGTTCAATTCAATTTTCAATTCAGAACTTTATTTCTCAGCTGCACAAGACAGAGGTCCATATTAAAAACATATGCAGATATATAGGGAAAAGAGCTGAGTATAAACATGATTGAGTATAATAACAACAAACCTTACAAAGAGTATAACAAACTAAACTATACTATACGAACATACAATCTAAAAATAATAGCTATATACGAACCTCCACAGCAGATACGATTGCATATACACATGTTTTTCTAATAATTCCAACCATTAAAGTTGACATAATTTTGGACATGACGTATGACAAAATAAATGTATTGTTATGTGAGAATATTATGACACGTACATAACGAACATGAACAAAAATATGTTACAACTGTATACGTCTTACCTCCCGACACCAACAGAAGAAAGAGCAAATAGCTGAGCGTACATGCAGCAGCACAAACACGACAATATAGAACCATGATGAAAGCACTATATAATCTATAAACTAAAGGAATATATGATTCCACAGCGAGCCTAAAAAAGCACGAAGGAAAGAACGTTTAGAACTCTGAATCTGACTAGAAAGGGTTTCATAATACCCTCCTACCAACTCCCGTACAACCTGTCGACTGGTATAGAGGTGCATGCATGGGCTCGAGGCACAAACTGGTACATGTATACGCCCCCTGCAATTTGACATTGGTGACCGCGGATGAGGATGGAGAGTTATTTGCGTCGCAGACGTCCCCCAGCAGAGGCTAAGTTAATCCTCCTATTAGCTTGTCCTCTGTGTTTAGCCCCAAATCGAGGGGTCTTGACTGACGACACATAACCCGTGGTCCCGATTGCATTGCGCGCAGCGAAAATACTGAATTACCGTGATAGTTCTACCAGGGAAATTTACCTGGTTCTACGAAATGGCGCATATAATTACGAAAAGGATCAGTAAATGTATGCGCCATTTTGTATAGAGCTATCATTCAGTATTTTCGCTCCAGCATTGCACCAGCCTACTACCAATTAAAAGATTATATGGAACTAAGAATATGACTTCGAAATCGATTCTATTGATATGTCAAATTTATTCAGAAAAAACAAATTAGTCAGAGACAATCTTTCTCATTCAAGCAATCGACTCCATCCAGCCTCGAACTAATTACCTGATGCATCCATCCTAGGACCAACTCAATCCATTTCTAGGACCAACTCAGATCTATATCTCCCAGTGTTGCTTACTTAATGGTGGCCCTTTGCGGTCATCTAAAGAGCCAAAGAATCGAAGCAGCTTTTTGTAGTAAACAGGTATACGCTATTTCTAACACCACGAAAAAAGGTGGTAGCCAAGGGGGCAGGAGGTACAATGCCCAAATATCATATGAACTAACTGTACCCCTTTGAGAAATAAAATCGTTTTCGTTTTCAAAGCTATCTAATGTTCCTTTCTAGATATGTATAATAAGCGTGCCTTTTTCAAACTAAAATTCTCTTGCCCCTTTTAACTACCTTGGCATGTTCAAATACAACTGCTAACCAGCTATCCTGTAAACCGATTTATTTGAAACTCCTAATTCCAAGAATCCAAGGTAATCCTTTGCTCTTTGTTCAGGATAATAAAATGTATGTGCCCCTTATATTAGGAGGAAGTGAGTTTTTCTTTTGGTGTTCAACGAGGGGGGATAGGGGACAGTGCCCACTTTTTTTTGCTCAACATCCATTTCCCTTTTATTTTTTTTTGCCACGGAAGGGGGCCCGTTTTTTGTTTTTTTTTAAACAAGAAAAGAGGTAAAATTAACGTGTTTTCATCTGTGTTTTTGCCACTGAAGGGGGGGGGGGGTAAGTCAGAGCGATGCGGATAAAGTATCATGGCGTACATGACCGGACAGCCGGGCACCTTCACACGCTAACCTAACTATCCGCCCAGTAGACACCATGTATAAGCGCTCCGTGACAGTAGCTGGTAGCGTATTTTGTTGTTGATGTTTTATATTTTGTCTAGTAGTAAGGCCGGAGAGAAGGAACCGCCCGAGCTACACTACAGATCTAAACCTAAGAAGGCCAATTTCACATACGAAACATGCCAATATTAATGTCTCCGACGGTTTATTCTTTGAAATTAGCAGACAATAAAACGAAGAAAAGAAACATCAACGTCCTCTCATTATGATGAGGGTGTATTAATTATATTCGAAATTATCTTATCGAAAGGGGTGGAAGTAAGGAAATTGCAGGGGATCGGGATCACACTGGCAACAACATTGGCACATGAACAGCAGATAATTTCTCTTGGGAGTTCAAAGATCAAAGATGTCAATGCAATCTTCAAAATAAACGTATGATTCGAATTGCCAGACGTGATTTTCTTAAAGAGATGCTAAAAAGGGGTTCTATTCTCCAATACCCACACATAAACAAAATTGAGGGGGGGGGGGGGGGGGGGTAACAATAAAAGCCCCCGTCTGCGTACGCGCCTGGTACTAGATCAACTGATGAAATCCATATTCCCAAACACCATAGTCGTATTTTTCAAAATAATATTCGTTTTACCGGCCCTAAGCTTTGCAACGATTTACCTGAACCTATGAGGAAATCTGTATCTCTGTTAAGCTTCTCTGGGAAGCTTAAACAATGTAACATTTTAAATTAAAGTGCATAAGTACTAGCCCTCTACCCGATTAGGTAGACGCAGGCGCGTACGCAGGATTTTTTCAAGGGGGGGGGGGGGGGGGTTTTAACATTTATAAATCGGTCCGAAAATTTCGCAACGACTCAGCCAGCCGCTGAATAAGCGGGGGGGGGGGGGGGGGGGGGGGAGGTACGGGGGGGGGGGGGTAAGAGGACACATTTTTTTTTTTTTTGGTCCCAAAAAAATCGCAACGACTCAGCCGACCGCTGAATAAGCGGGGGGGGGGGGGGGGGGGGGGGGGGGGGGGGGGGGGGGTAAGAGGACACTTTTTTTTTTTTTTTTGGTCTCGAAATTTGGAAATTTGACATTTTGCTCCGTTGGGGGGGGGGTAAGGTCACCTTTTTTAGGTCGGCCATGGGAATAATTTTTTTTTTTTTTTTTTTTTTTAATAATTAAAAAAAAAAAAAAAAAAAAAAAAAAATCCAAAAGGGGGGGGGGGGGGGGGGGGGGGTTTTAGGTTTTTTTTAGGGGGGTTTACACACAAAAAATTTCCACGCGCCTGGGTAGACGAGTGTGTATGTATATTGTATAAGGGGATGTGTTGTATGGATGTGTAAGTATATATATGTTGTATGCATGTGTATAATTATGTAAACATACATGTATAATAATAATAACAATATTGAATATTTTATATAGCGCACATATCCACCCTGCAGGGTGCTCAAAGCGCTCCGATATTACCCCGGCTCTGCTAGGCTACCGATATCGGTGCTCACGGCATTCAAGGAATTCCTTCCTACCAGTTCCCATTTACGTCACCTGGGTGGAGTGTGGCAAATGTAGATCAATGTATAGGCTTATGTTGTATAAATGCATGCACTTGTAAAGAAGTATATATATATATATGCAGTCAAATATTTCAACATTATACCCTTTACCTATATCTTGCCATTATGTTGCTTATGCATGCGATACGATACACTCCATTGCTACCATGTTGCAGTCCTCTTCTTTTCCTCTCTTCTGTTCCCTTTCTCCAAGCTCTCTATCCTCGATCCTCTCCTCCTTGCCTATCCCTTTCTTCCTTTCTTCTATTTATAATGTATATTATGTATTTGTGTATTCGGGCGTACCCATTACAAGCTTGTAAAACAAGTTCTTTAATTATATTATGTTCCTACGTATAAATCGTATTGTTTGAACAGATGTCAAATATGTTGTCAAATTGAATGGAAGAAAATAAATGTTCATGTGAATTGAATTTGAATTGAATTGAATCGATTTGAATTGCATATAACAACGACTTGCATTGTAGGTCCATAACCATCACAATAAACACGAAATGTTGGCAACCCTATCAAGGCAGAGGATGACATGAAAACGCGTTATTTAGTAAGATATGCTACGGTGTCATGACATCATTTCTGCACTAGTAACGAAATAGAAATTTAAAAAAAAACGGAGGTGTTTTGACGAACACTGTATGTTATCAACAAGAGAGGGTGACATTTATGAATAGAATTCACGATTCTCGAGTCAAGACTTGATGTGTCCCGATATATACAATAAAACATAAATTGTGCTTTCTATTTGTGTTATTAATGTTGAGCTATTATGACATGGTATCATGTGCCGAGAGATATATTAGGGTGTTGAAACCGTGCCCAACCATTAGCAGACGCTTCTAACCAAATATATGGGCCTATAATGTAGAAAAATTATTACAAATTTGAATATAATTCTGAGTCATATACAGTTATAAATGAAAACATGTTCGGTATTCGTGGTGCTCCATGATGTTAATTTTTACATTAATGTCCAAATCATTAATGATCTGATTAAAAATTCATAGTCATCACCATCAGTTACAGGAAGTAGGCTAGTTATATACTTTCAAACATGCATCATAATTATAAGCGGTAATTAATTTTCTTAATTTGATCGAAACATGTAGGCGGTCGTATTTTCTCACCGAAATCGGCTACCACAAACGCTCAGTTGGTTTTGCATACTGTTATTTTGAAGTAAAAGAGAACATAAATCTCAAGAGCAAAAACTCAGCTTGAGGGTCAATAATTAATAATCACTTTTTACCCTTACTCATTTTTCCTGTATTCGTTCATATAATTATGCATAGTGCATATCACATTATGATATAAGATATGTATTTACAAATTGCTTAGAAATTTGTATAATAGTGCCTTAGCAAAGTCAAACGCAGTAGCTGTATTCGAATATGTAACTGTCCAAAACCTTTTAAATACCAATTTCCATTTATTTATACAATCAATACTTTTTCTACCATTAGATAACATTGCCAACAAAGTTATCAAGTGAGTAGGCCTATATCCATACAGATCCATGAATGTATAAAGCGCCAATATCTAGTTGCCTAATCAAAGGCGCTGATGAGACTGAAAAACTACCAAAATATATCATGTTCATGATTCTAACTGGGAAAGATAAAAAGCAATGACTAATTGTAAGCAATCTTACATATAAAATTATTAATATGAACACATTATCTTTTTTCTAATTTAGAAGAATGTGTCATATTGTGTATGGTTTTGTTTTGATGGAATAAGAGGAGCGGGCGCTAGGAGCATGCAATGGGCAGGGGGCGATTAAAAATAGGCACATAGAGAGAGAGAGAGAGAGAGAGAGAGAGGGAGAATGTGAGGGGTTATACAATTTATACAATTTATGAAGCTATAAAAGGGATAAAGAGGCGACAGTTCGAAAGCAAAATAGGGACAAGAAACATGTAAAGATCGAGCTCTGAATTTTGATATAATTGAGTAGGCCCCGAATGTTAAAATATATTCCAATACATGTCGTCCCTTTTAACTTTCGAAGCTTATTGAAGGACGCTGATTATCCATTACTGGTCTACTTGCTCCAATAAAAACACTCTGTCAACGATTAAATCATGTTGATCAAACATATGTAACCATTATGTTCAAATTTTCTGATAGAATCTCTCGGGTTGAAATTCATAAAACACACCACACGTGGGAAGCACAATACTATTCCCAAACTTTATTTCACA